TGTTATTATATATAATATATCACAATTTTATATTTCACGGTCCTTTCTCATCATATTTTCAACTTCATAAAAAAATTTCAACTCAACCTAAGCAGTATTTTATGAGTATTTTATGACTTAGGGACACATGTCTTTAAATTTTCTTTACTAATAAGCATGATATCATCAAGACAACCAATTATTTTAAAACCGAAAAAATCATTTTTTAATTTTATTTCTCGAACACAAATTTCTTGCTCGAACATTACCTCTACAAACTTTGAGTCATTTTTTTCCTCAATGTCGTCAATATCCTCTGTCAGATTTTGTACAATTTGATGAATATAACCGATACTGTTTTCATTTCTCTGAAGTGAATCAAGTTGAGTATTTACTAGTTCCTGAAAACATATTATAATAAGTGCAAATACTTTCCATGTCAAAGTATAATTAATGAAGATAAATTTTTAATATTCGATATAATAAACAAAAAATAGGTGCATTTAAGAGTTCATTATTTAAACACGTTTCTCTGGTATCGATGATTTTGTAATTTGTAATCAACATAAATCAAATTCTATTTAACCGATTTTAAAAAAGCTACGTACATTTTTTGTCACTTTTTTGGAAGTTGTTTAGAAATTGATAGCATTTAATGTAAAACAATAACGTATAAAAAATTGCTTACATCATGTGTTACTTGTGAAAGATTTTCAGTGCTAACACTTCCCATTAAAAGATCTATATTCTCATCAAAATCTACCTCCATTTGATTTTCTTCTGATGAAGATTTAGATGATGTTTCGTCAGTATCGCTCCCCTGATTAGAAGGACTTTCTACCAAATGATCTTCATTTATCTAATTCAAATGAATTCAAAATTACATAAATGTAGTAGGAGTAGTATTAAAGTTGTATTAAAAAGTTTACCTCTTCTAAAAACTTTTTGCGACTTCTATACCAAGATGAAGAAGGAACAGAATCAGTTGATCCTGCATCTAAATACCGTTTGTAGCCTCGCCACTCATTCATGATATTAACTGTCAGAAAAAAAATGTTTAACTGATGTATTCAAAACATTAAATAGCAAAAATGTCGAAGTAAAATTTCTTTTGGATTAAAAATTTCATAATCTTTCACTTAAAATATAATTTTTTAATGATTTAATGAACAACAAATTTTAAAATGCACCGATGGTTAGTTTTTAATTAGTCAAAAATTTGTATTGAAATGCTTTAATTTGCCGTTTGGTATATACATTTTTCCATAATTTAACTACAAAAGTACTAATAGTAAAAGTACTTTTTTGTCAGTTAAGAGAAAAAAATTCGTGTAGTCGTAAAAGTCGGAATAAATTTCGCACAATATTGCAGATAATTGTTATCAATTTAGCTGTAATGAGGTATATGTAGTGCAACAACTTTTTATTGCGTATAATATAAGAGAAAATAATAAAAATTGAGAAGAAGCCGCACTTAAAAAGGGGTGCAACATAACCTCAAAAAGCGTTAAGTACAAAAGTAGCATTTTTCTGTGTTAAATTTACCCGATTAGCGGTACAAAAAAAGTTCAATAATAATATGCCTTAAAAAATTCTTTAATCATTCATCATGAAAGTTGATGATTTTATACCATCATTTCTGCTGTACAAAGTAAAAATTATAATTTTTTTGTTTTGTTTATAATCTAAGTGAACTTCGACCATATGGAAAAAGTGGTTACTAGGTTTTTACTTTGTAAAGCAGATTTGAATATAAGAAAATTTTAGATATTTGTCATAGGATTTCGTTTTGCACCAAGGGTTATAAAGGATTAAAAATCGAGTAAGTCAAGAATGTGTCAATTTTCAATTCATATTTATGATTTAAAAAAAATATATATTTCTACATTTTTTGAAGGTAAATGCACCTGTTTTATCAGCAGATTTCGGTATTATAAAGTTTAACAATACTGTGCTTGTATTTACGAAGGTATATACATACCTATATTTTTAAATATATTATTAAACATTATAGTATCCAAAAAAAATAAATTTAATAAGTAAATAAATTTTTTTAAAGTCATTCTGGATGTTGAAACATTGTATAAAAGTGTTAAATTTTTGGTTACAGTGACTGACAAAAAAGTAAAATTCTTTAGTGTAAAAATTAAAGTTTCGTATTAATTCTTTTAAAATATGCATCTCAATAGTTTAATTTTATAATACTTTAAATAATTATTAAATTCTTTTATTTTTTATAAGAATAAACTAGTAAATCCGATAATAGGTGCACCCTAATAGTTTTGTTGGACAATCGACATGATTGCCGAACACTAGGTAAATGCAAGTGCGTATTAATAAATAATACTTTAAAAATTAAAACTTTGTTCGTAAAATATTGATGAAACAAATATTGGATTTCTGAAACCTAAATTTACATCCCGAAATTTTTTTTAAACAAATAGTTATTAGATATAAAACTACTTAACTTAAAATTCGCATAATATGAACATTATTAGTCGTAAATTGCATTGCACACAAAAACCATTTAACATAAATGTCATTTGTCATAGAATTAATTTAACAGAAATATTATGTTACATAAAACTCAGGTAACTTAATTCACATTTGACATACAAATTATGTAACATAAATTTCTATTCACATAAAAATCATTTACCATAAATTTCTTTTGCACTGAGAGAAATTCCTGGTTCATACAACCAAATTTTCGTGGTGAAAAACGTCTTTGACTACGATTCAAGTTGTTCGAACATGACTGAACATAGTTGTCTTGACGATAAAACATGGTTAATATAAATTTAATTCCTGGTTATAGTAACCAGGATCATGGTTGACACTGAAATTGTGGATGGGAATGTAAAGCTATAACAGGAAACAATATGTTATCTATGATTAAGAGGTTAAAATTATATATTTTTTCATCTTCTTATTTTAGAATTTATTTTCACAATACTTATAAATAATGTAGTCCATCCTTTGTTTTCATAAAAATAATTTTAAAAATCGTTAAAAACATATAGGTTATATGAAATCATTAATTGGATTTATCTAATTAATTGTCAACAATACTGTCACTAAAATAAGTAAAAAGATTTACATCAACAGCATCATATTCACTTTTACTTTACATACTTTTGTTAATAAGAAGAAAGATGGAAAACCATAAAATACTTTAAAATAAAAACTTGATGAGTGCATTCTACGTTGTGTTAAAAGTCAAACTATAGCAGACAGTATAAAGACGTACTGCGCTTGCTCCCAACTACTGAAATCTAACAAATTGACTGGTTACTACAACCAGGTTTCATTTTCCTACAACTTTTCACTAAAGTTGTGCTATAACATGTGTTCGTAGTTGAAGACAAATTTCACCACAGATCATGGTTGTCACAACTAGGATTGTTTTTTTTGGCAATTTTAGTTAACATAACTAAATTTCTGGTTACTGTAACCAGAAAACATGTTACAAAGACAATTTTAAGTTGGTCCAGTAACTGCATTTCATTAACCACTTTTTTCTGGTTGTATTAACTTGGGTCCATTTCTCTCAGTGTGACATAAAATTCATTTAACGTAAATTTCATTTGTTACAAAATTCATTTGACATAAAATTCAGTTGACATCAATTTCATTTGGCATAAATGTCATTTAACGTCATTCTCATTTGATACAAAATCCATTTGACATAAATATCATTAGACATGAAATTAGCGTGACACAAATTTCATTTGACGTGAATATTATTTAACATAATTATTATTTAACGTAAAATTAATTTGCGCCGATATTTTTATGTAAATTGAAATTTGTGTAAAATGATTTTAATTGCAAATGAGAATTTTGTTGAATGACTTTTATGTCAAATCTAATTTATGTTAAATGACTTTTATGACAAATGAGAATTATGTTAAATGTATTTTATGTCAAATGGACTTTATGAAAATGAAATTTATGTTAAATGAGAATTATATTAAATGACATTTATATAAAATTAAATTTATGACAAGTGAAATTTATGTCAACTTAAATTTATGACAAATGAATTATAGAACAAAATAAAATATATTACGTCAAATGACGTATATTTTACACAAATTTTACCTCAAATTAATTTTCTGTCAAATAAAACTTATGTCAATTGAAATATATGTCAAGTGATTTTTATGTTAAATAAAATTCAAGTCAATTGTATTTTTACGTTAAATGGAAATTATGCTAAATGATTTTTATATGAAATAAATGTATATGTTAAATTAATTCTATGTCAAATGACATATTTGTTATATAAATTTTATGTTATTAATTATTATTAATAACATATTAATATTATGTATTAATTTTATTGCCAGGTTGGCACTTGCAATACGGAATCCCGTACCTCCCAATACTTTTTTTTACAGGGTATGCAAGACTTCACAACTTTTTAACACATATTTACTTTTCTTAGTTTACTAAGTTTAAAAATATTATTTTAAACGCACTCATTCAAAATTCACATCATATCGAGCTTGCATGACGAATTTTCAATAAAATACTTGTAAAATCAAAAATTGTATGGTAGTAAAGGCCAACGCAGAATAGATCTGTAACCGGAACCTCAATCGTAACCGTAAGCGTAAGAATGAGTTAGAGAAGGATAAACAATATACCTATCCTTCTCTAACTCATTCTTACGGTTACGCTTACGATTGCGGTTCCGGTTACAGATCTATTCTGCGTTGGCCTTAAGGAACTGTTACTTGTGAGGTAACGTTAGGTTAGGTTAGACGAGCAAGCAATTGAGCTGTGACGCAGAGCTGCCAGATACCCTCACCACCAATCGCAAGTGCGCATGCCTCGTGCTTCTATTTTAATTGGTGGACATTTTCGTTCTTATTTACAATTCCTTGTAAACTAAAACATTCCAAAATTTCCATCAATTAAAATTGGAGGCGTGAGGCATGCGCACTTGCGTTTGGTGAGGGTGCCTGGCAGCTCTGTTTCTATATAATTTTATTCACTTCGTGGTTCGTGCTTTGACGGTTGGACCCAAGCAACGAACTAAATTGAATTGGAATAAAAAAAGTGTGCAACTGAAAATGTCAGTTCAAAATATTGAGTTTGCATATGCATTATTCGGTAATGGTGAGAAGAGAAATGTGCCCGTGTCGTGTATAGAAAATTTTTCGCCGAAAAATCAAAACGATTTTATAAAAAGAAAAAAATATAAAATGTGGTCGCTGGGGAATAAAGGGCCCAATGATTTCTTACGCAGTGGTTACATTCTGCTGCTAGGTGCTAAGTAAATATAAATAGTAACATCTTATATTTATGCTGAATTCCACACAAGCCAAATAGTGGACACCATTTGCCTCAAAGATAGTTCTACTTGATGCATAGTGTAGTCACTTTCAGTCACTTTTCAATGTGTCGGATTCTTTGATTATTTTGTGTCTAACTTTATATTCAAGATTGTTTTTGAATATATAAGTGAAATGATAAATTTCTTTTTTTACCGATATATAAATGTTTTAGAAGAATTAAATTATAAAATGAGTTTTATTGTTATATATATTCAAAATTAGTTAGTGATTATAGGAATCCGACGTTTCGTAAAGTAACATCACAAATTAAACTGTCATATATATTGTATTTCCACTTTTTGAAAGTTTTTCTTTTTATACTGGTTGAGTTTAACTTAGATGGTTTTCCCTAGTCAAATTTTTATTCTTTATATAAATTTTGATTTTTTTTCAATTTACAATTTATTTATTATTCCTAAATCCCTACTCATTACTATTTTTAAAAAGAGTGAAAGATGATTCAAATTGATTAATCTCTTTAGAGAGTTTTATTAAAATAAAATTTTTTTTACATATAACTCAACAATATATTTTTATTGTAGCTGATGTAAACCACATTAATAAACAAAAGAAATCCAAACGTGTACAAATGCCAAGTCAAAAAAATTTGAGTTTTTCATCTTCATCAGAGTGTGAAAAAAAGAAAAAAAACAGGTAAAAATATTTTAAACATTTATAATTACTTTTTTTGTATACTGCTGTAAAAAACAAATTATTTTCAATATGTTTTAGTACATTATTTTTGAGGTGTCCAAAATGCTCGATCGAGTATTTTCGAGCTTTTCGTTTTTCTAGTAGAGTTATCGAGTGGAATCAGTCCGAACTCGAGCCAAATTCAAATTATTTTATCTTTTATTTTTTCTTAAATTTTCAATCGTTTAAATGAATAAATTTTTTTGTTATTATATTCATTGTATCATTGTAATATCATTGTAATTAAGTAAACAACTTATTTTGTAATACTCAAACCAATATATTTTTAAGAAATATAAAGTTAAAGTACAATTTAAATTTTTTTCTCAAGCTCGGTTGTAAATATTTGCGTCTTTATACATTAATAAGCTATGTTTTGTATATACAGTCGGGTCCCCATACTGTTACATTTTCAGAAATTTCCCACTTCTCCAGACTCAGTTCTGTTATGTGCTCAAATTATGCTTACTGGGCACCTTTCAGGAACGTAAATATATACACCTCAAGTTTGGCCTAGAAGTATATGCACCCTTTTCCTTTGTCTTAAGAATACGGCCCTGAAAATTAGTGACGTAACGTGACGTCACCTAACACTTCTGAATTTGGAGGTTATGCAAAAACATAACACTACTGAGGACATAACAGTTTGGAATCTAACAGTATGGGGACCCGACTGTATATGTATATATAATTTACTATTTTTACAGCCTGTTAAAAGAAAACTCCAGTTTCCAACTGATGCCGCAAAAAAACAGGCAAATGAAAAAATTTTTCAAAACCGATTAGAATTAATTAAAACACGAAAAATTATCCAAGAATCTGATGAAGATGAGAGTTTAGATACCGAAAGTGTTGATTCAGTGCAGCCTCTTTCAGGATCTACAGGTATATGTTTTTCAAAGGTATATATAAGGTATATATATATATATATTTCAAAGGTATATATTTTTTCAATCGAGGGCATGGAAAGCAGAGTAAGCACAGCTTCGGTTGTGCTTTCCAGGCCCTCAATTAAATTCATGACAATAATTTGAAAAATAGTAAGAGTAATAGGGATCTGAAATCATAGTTAAATCTAGTGAATTATTTTGGTCTGCATATTAAATTTAAATATAAATGAAAAGTAATGTGAAAACTAATCTTTATTTCTGAAAGAACTTTTTACTGATTCTAAAGTCATTTTTTGTAAGAAAATTTACTACTCCATCTAATGATGCTAATAAAAAAACTCTTTTTATATAAAAATAATTACATATATGTATATGAAGAAGCAGATTCTATAGACTTTTTATCAGGTGTCTATATGGGTGAATCCACTGAACTATACGATTTAAGGACATAAATCTATGTAAAGCTTAAAAATAAGACTCAAAACATTTTTTTATTAAATCAAGTAAGCACGAAGACATGGCTTGTCTTAAAAAACATCTTTAGGACGTCCTTAAGATCTCAATATCCGTCTCAAAGACGTATCGTGTCTAACAGACGTTTTTTAAACATAAGATTACTATAAAACAATTGGATTTAATGCGATTCATGCGATAAAGATGTTCACTTAAAAATTTGTAATTAATTAATTGTGATTTCGATTAATTTAATTTTCTTACTTTCTCTTTTCTAATTTTAAGCTAATAATTAACCATTTTTAACATATTTAATATTTCTAACCATTTAATAAATATATTTCATCGTTATTTTTGATTTTGAACTCAATTTAGGCAGTGGCCCACAATTCCCCAACATTTTTAAAAATCATAAAATTACATTCTTTGGTAAAACATAAATTTCTTTAAGGTAAGTGATAATTTTGGGAAACTTACTATGATATATGTGAGTTTATACCTCCTAAGATATTGAGCTAAAAAAAGTGTGGCCCACAATTCCCCAATCTCCCTTATTAAAAATCAATTTAAAATTTCCACCAGTTTTTAGAGTTATGTAGAATCTAATTCGAACTAATTGAATCGCAAGTAAACCCTACGTTACGAATGCTAAAATCTAAAATAACAATATATTGTAGGTTTAAATAAATATTACGTCAATAAACTTTAAAGTAAAAAGCAATTTTTTAAAAACAAATTAATATACAGAAAATTGTAATATTTTATATAGGATTTTATATCACACATTTCCCATACGATTTTACATGGGAATCCATATAGTTTTCTTTATGGAAGAGGGATTTTACATGGTTTTTAAGGGGTTACCCCCACTTGTAGCGCAAAAAAATAAGCCTTTTTTATGAATTTTTTTAAAGAAAACTACAAAACCTTTTTAATCTATAACTATATCATCTTAAAGAACACATATTGAAGAACTTTTAGTAATTTTTTTGTTAAAAAATATTACATAGTTAAGTGTCAAACTGCCGTCAACGAAATAATATTTTTATTTATACGGTTTGCGGTGACCAACATTGCGGCGAAGTGAATCATCGGAATCAAAAAATGTGGATAAATTTAGTCAAATATGAGTATAAACTAGTCTTTAATCGAAGGATTTAAAAAAATATTTATTTTTCACAAAATGGCTGACAGTCTAAGTTAAAAGTTCGATTTTAACGAAAAAAAACGTCCGTTTTTTGGCTATAAAACGGACATTTTTTTTCGAAAAAGAAAATCGAACGATTAAAGACTACATTTTTATGTATTAAATAAGCCTGCAAAATTTCAAGAAGATCGGTTTATTAGTGTTTGAGTAATCTTGGTCACCGACTTCAGAAATGCCATTTCGAGAAAAACGCGTTTAAAGTTTCAATTTCAGTTTCCACGAAGAAAATAATTTTTTTGTAAAGTTACATAGAATCAACTCCGGTAAGTGGGAGTACGTAATAGTTTGGTTTCCAGAAGTAGGCTGAAAAGTCATGGTGGTAATTAAAAAAAAGATATTCATTTTATCGATGCATATATGTATATACAAATCAGTATATATCAGTCTCTTTCGTCTCTTTCAAAGCTCATATCTCAGTCAATTTTGTTGGAATTGACTTGAAATTTTCAGGACATACTTTCAGTTACTTATGCTTCAAAAAAATGCAATAAAAGAAAAATCGATTTTTTCAAAGTTGCAAGTGGGGGTAACCCCTTAATATAGGATTCCATGTGGGGATTTTCAATAGGGAAACTAATCAAAACTAATGAATCGACTCACCCGTTTTACTTTAAAAAAGATCAAACATAATTTCATTACATGTTAGTATTAATAAATTATATATTAAATAATTTGTGATTATGCTTCTAAATCAGATGAAGCCTAAAAGGCCAGTCCCATGTCAGCATGAAAACGGAAAACGTTTATCCAATAACAACTTCCGATTCAATGGAAATCGTTCTAAAAGAAAATTCTTATTGGTTGAACGTTTTCCGGTTCACGCTGACATGGGACTCAATCGAATTGATTCAAAATCAAGGTCCCTGCTCTATAAATCTGAATTAGTAGTTTCCTACTAATGAGATAGTGCAGATGCATTTACCAATTTGAATTAAAAATAGTTTTGACTAATTTTTAGTAAAAAACTACTATTTGTTAGTAGAAAACTATAAATTTAATTAATAAGACGAATTTTTACTATCTCAAATTAGCAAACTGACTTACTAATGAATTAGTAATTTTCTACTAGCAATTAGTAGAAAAGTACTAAAAATTAGTCAAAATGTCACTAATTCAATTGGTAAACAAATCCGCACTATTTCATCAGTAGAAAACTACTAATTCAGATTTAGGGAGTGAAGTTGACATCGACGCTGCGCATCGAAAAATTTTTTTGTATAGGAAACCGGAAAATATCACTGAATATTTTTTTACTTTCTAGGTGAATAGAAGAAGCGAAATTTTTTTAAATTTTATCAAAAAGAGAAAAAAAATAGTTTTTGATGCTGAACATTGATTCTAACTTTAGGAAGCTTAAAATGATGCTAACAAAACTTTGTCTTCTTAGATTAGTTAAAATATAATAAATGACCTCATCTTTTTTTTAAAATTAAAGAGGAATCATTATGTAATGCCTTTTAGATTTAGGAAAATTCTAGATTAATTTAATTTTTAGTATGTACGAGACTCTCGTTGAAAATCCGAAACTTATATTAGTCTCAATTTCGTCTCGAATTTTTTTCTGTTGTCTCTGTCTCGTTATACTGAAAATCGAGACGTGACCAAGACTTTTAATGTCTCGTGTGAAGCCCCAATTATAATATGCATTTTATATTATTGCAGTAAAAAAAAGAATAAAAAAGGCCCAGAATCAAAAAAACGGCGTTGTATTGTCGAGGAAACTGGCGACGAAAGTTCAGAGAAAGATGATGGTAAGAATAATAATTTTCAATATTTTACAAAAATTAGAATAACTTCAAAAATAATGATCGCTTTTTAATGATCTTACGCTTATTTTGAAGGTTATTTTCTACAGTAAGAGAATTATTTATAGGTATTAATGAGTAATTTTTCTTCTTAGAAACTGCAGGTCGTAAAACTTGGACCAAAAAATTTGAAATAATTTTTTTGTACTAAAAACTATTCTAGAAAAAATATATGGGACGTTTCACGTCAAACGGCCCAAAGCTGTGCCCAAAATTGTATGCAATGAAAATACAAGTTATGCACATGAAAATACTCGTCATGACATCCCCTTTCAATTGCAAAGTGGCATAATTGAAAATTCAAAATGGCGTCCTTGCTACGTCAATTAGAAGAGGCTAAACTCGAAAATAAGTAAATATATTTATTAATTACTTTTAAAAAACAATGCATAAATATTGGGTCAAAATATATTTTAATGTTTTTAGGGGCGCTGATTACGAATCTGAAGTCAGATTTCAAAAATTCAAAATGTCGGATCCAATATGGCGGACGGATTAAAAAAAATACATTGAATTTGCTTAAAACTTTTTACTCGGGGGTTTTCGGGGTCGCTGGTTACGAATCTGAAGTCAGATTTTAAAAATTCAAAATGGCGGATCCAATATGGCGAACGAATTTGAACAAACTTATTGAATTCGCTTGAAATTTTTGTTCAAATAACGCAATCATAAAAATGGCGTTATTTGTCTCTCAGTAGGCCAACGTAAAGTGATTCTTTTTAGTACGTTGTTACGACAATACTGCGAATGACAGTTCAGTTCAAAAAAGAACTTTGTTTGTGCTTGTTCGAGTATTTTTGTAACGCTCGAGTAGTTGCAATTCCGTCCAGTAGAGGCGTGATTATGTTTTTGTTCAGTTACCTACTTTTACCGTGTCTTAAAGCTGCAACACAGCATCTGTCAAATACTAAGAGTTTCTAACCTCCTTTTCGCGATCACTCGTGTGAAAATTCCGTTTTTATTCATTATTGATATTATTTTTATTAATACGTCGAAGTACATGACTAGGTTTCAGGGGGCTTCGCCCCCAACGTGTCCGGTGACTTGGGGTATTATAAAATGCGATTATTCGAAATGTCGAAAATTGTTATTATTCTTTTGAGTTGGTTTTTTGTAATCCAGGGACTTTGCCCCCTCCAACTCCCTGATCGGTGCTCCGCCCCTGGACCCCATTCGTGGGAGACCCCCCGAACACCCCCGCGCGATCAACTAGTAGCGTACGCTTGACAGTGGATCTGTGTTCCGAATCTTATGTACCCGTTTCTCAACATTCTTTTCAAATAAATAAGTTTTTCAGTGTCAACGCCTTTTTATGATTTTGTTATGAAAAGTATCGTGGGCAGTGGGCAACACGTGTAGCGGCATTTTGGAACTCGCGCTACTTTTGCGTAACGAGTCATGTACTTCGACGTATTAATGAAAATAATATCATTAATGTATATAAACGGAACTTTCGTAATCAGCGACCCCGAAAACCCCCGAGTAAAAAGTTTTAAGCAAATTCAATAAATTTTTTTAAATTCGTCCGCCATATTGGATCCGCCATATCTAATTTTGAAAATCTGAATTCAGATTCGTAATCAGCGACCCCGAAAACCCCCGAGTAAAAAGTTTTAAGCAAATTCAATAAATTGACGTAGCAAGGACGCCATTTTGAATTTTCAATTATGCCACTTTGCAATTGAAAGGGAATGTCATGACGAGTATTTTCATGTGCATAACTTGTATTTTCATTGCATACAATTTTGGGCACAGCTTTGGGCCGTTTGACGTGAAACGTCCCATATATATATTTATATACATATATGTTGTAGATTTTTCAATAAAATTTAATAAAAAAAATAATAGGCAGAATGTTCTTTTTACTCAGGCAATTTTTGCCTACGTTCAAAAACAAAACAAGAAAAGCAATTGTTTTTAGGCATCAATTGACTGAGTAAAAAGCACATTCTGCCTATTATTTTTTCAGTTTGTTTAAATTTCAAAAATTACTTTTCTGTTAATAAGATTGTTTCAAATTTTTTTTGTCTAAATTTGACACCTAATGTTAATAAGCTTTATGTAAATTTAAAATTTTTAAATATATAAATAAATGAATATTTTAATTATGCTGACTAAATAACAACCCTAAAAGACTAAATAATTTATCACATTACAAAATTAATGCGTTACATCTGTACATTTTCAATAATTTAAACATTTATACGTAAACACTGAGTACCGGTAACGCTTCACAGGGCATTTAATATTTTAACTTTCTTTCATTATTTTTCTACTTCATAAAAATTCTTTTTTGATAAATAGGCAATTGTCAAAGTCATGAACGATCTCTTTCTCCTCTCATAGACTCTCTTCTCGCAGTTGATGAAGTGGACGGTACTCCTCAGCGTTCACGATATTCACCTTCAGGCGTTGGAGGTGAAATGAATGGCGCATCAAACAGTGGTAAGTTTTACAAAATTGTTGTACACAATATTAATTCAAATTCAAAATATTAACTTAAGGATCGACCATTGAGATTCTCAAGAACAAGTTGACGTATGCTGAGCTAAACTCTGATTGGTAACGGGTAACTGGAATAGGAAGTTATCAGAAATTTATTTAATTGGGTTAAAAAAAAGTGCGTTCGTTTGAAATATTGAATATTAAGAATATTTTAAACGATCCCGGTAATTTCGACCAATGATAAAAAAATGTGTACTTCACCTTCGATTAAATAGGCTTGGAATTTTTTTAAATGTGCATGACAACATAATATTGTTAACTATATAATATAATATAATATATATATATATATATACTACGGTCGGGAATAATCAGTACGGCTGCACGCGCAGGGCGCAAAACCATACCCATCATCAAATCACGATTTTTTTGTAAATACAAATGTCAGAAAATTAACAAATATACCATTCGAAAGATTATTAAATTCTAAGATTAATGATATGAAACTGAAAATTTTAATAATTTATACAAAGCTTGCAGCAATCTACAAATTTGACAAAAAATGAAAAAAATAAATTTTTTTTTGAAATTATTTCGACCCTTGCCTATTTTTTAAAAATTGTAGGAAAAATTTGCATCTTAGATAGGTGTAATCATTCAAGTCTCATCTTTAATTTAAGACCAAAAAGAGGTAAAAAATTTTATTCGGTTCGAAAGATAGCATTATAAACGACCGAGCATTTTCAGCCAAAAAGCAATTAAAATCGGCTAATTCAATGCATTTTTCAAAAAACATGCTCGGACGTTTATAATGATATCTCACGAACCGAATAAGATTTTTTAACTTTTTTGGTCTTAAATTAAAGATGAGACTTGAATGATTACATCTATATAAGTTTTAAATTTTTCTTATAATTTTTAAAAAATATGCAAGGGTCGAAATAATTTCAAAAAAAAATTTATTTTTTTCATTTTTTTGTCAAATTTGTAGATTACTGCAAGCTTCATATAAATTATTAAAATTTTCAGTTACATATCATTAATCGTAGAAATTACATATATATACGTAAATACTGAGTACCTGTAACGTTTTACAGGGCATTTAATATTTTAACTTTCTTTCATTATTTTTCTACTTCATAAAAATTATTTTTGATAAATAATATGTCAAAGTCATGAACGATCTCTTTCTCTTTCACAAAATCGTGATTTGAAGATTAGCATGTTTTTGGGCCCTGCGCGTGCAGCCGTACCGATAATTCCTGACGGTAGTGTATATATTTAATAATCATTTTTTTCAGATTCACACATTCAACGTACCCAAGATTCGAGTATCCGCAATGAGACGCCGAGAAGTAATCGTCGCAGGGAAACCCCGAATCCAAATATGCGCAATGAATCGCCCAGAAGTAATCGTCGCAGGGAAAACCCGAATCCAAATATGCGCAATGAAACGCCGAGAAGTAATCGTCGCAGGGAAACCCCGAATCCAAATATGCGCAATGAATCGCCGAGAAGTAAACGTCGCAGGGAAACCCCGAATCCAAATATGCGCAATGAATCGCCGAGAAGTAATCGTCGCAGAGAAACCCCGAATCCAAATATGCGCAATGAAACGCCGAGAAGTAATCGTCGCAGGGAAACCCCGAATCCAAATATGCGCAATGAAACGCCGAGAAGTAATCGTCGCAGGGAAACCCCAGATTCGAGTATCCGCAATGAAACGCCGAGAAGTAATCGTCGCAGGGAAACCCCGAATCCAAATATGCGCAATGAAACGCCGAGAAGTAATCGTCGCAGGGAGACCCCGAATCCAAATATGCGCAATGAAACGCCGAGAAGTAATCGTCGCAGGGAAACCCCGAATCCAAATATGCGCAATGAATCGCCGAGAAGTAAACGTCGCAGGGAAACCCCGAATCCAAATATGCGCAATGAAACGCCGAGAAGTAATCGTCGCAGGGAAACCCCGAATCCAAATATGCGCAATGAATCGCCGAGAAGTAATCGTCGCAGGGAAACCCCGAATCCAAATATGCGCAATGAAACGCCGAGAAGTAATCGTCGCAGGGAGACCCAAGATTCGAGTATCCGCAATGAAACGCCGATAAGTAATAGTCGCAGGGAAACCCCGAATCCAAATATGCGCAATGTATCGCCGAGAAGTAATCGTCGCAGGGAAACCCCGAATCTAAATATGCGCAATGAAACGCCGAGAAGTAATCGTCGCAGGGAAATTCCGAATCCAAATATGCGCAATGAAACGCCGAGAAGTAATCGTCGCAGGGAGACCCAAGATTCGAGTATCCGCAATGAAACGCCGATAAGTAATAGTCGCAGGGAAACCCCGAATCCAAATATGCGCAATGTATCGCCGAGAAGTAATCGTCGCAGGGAAACCCCGAATCTAAATATGCGCAATGAAACGCCGAGAAGTAATCGTCGCAGGGAAATTCCGAATCCAAATATGCGCAATGAAACGCCGAGAAGTAATCGTCGCAGGGAGACCCAAGATTCGAGTATCCGCAATGAAACGCCGATAAGTAATAGTCGCAGCGAAACCCCGAATCCAAATATGCGCAATGAAACGCCGAGAAGAAATCGTCGCTGGGAAACCCAGAATCCAAATATGCGCAATGAAACGCCGAGAAGTAATCGTCGCAGAGAAACCCCGAATCCAAATGAACGTAATGAAACGCCGATAAGAAATCGTCGTAGGGAAACCCAGAATCCAAATGTACGCAATGAAACGCTGAGAAGTAATCGTCGAGTGGAAACCCCTCAACGGGTTACTCGACGGGGAAATAATAATCGTCAAGTAAATGCTCCAAATCGAAACGCACATATTGCAATTGAGGGTCTGCGACGACAAATCATTATCGAAAATGAAGTAGTATGTATATAGTGTATATGTAGTTATATGAAAAGCTTGATTAAATATGTAAATTTAAAATTATTTTATGCTTATAAACTACAGAATTATTTTCCTTGCAGGTACATATAGATGAAAACGTTAAAACTGGCCTTGAAACGTGGGAAATGATTCATCTAAGGAAAGATGATTCAAAATTTATTAAGGATATGGCAGTTGTTATCTGGACAAGGGAAGGGCTTCGAACAAAGTGTTTGAATCCACAAAGAGCCAATAAAAATGTCACAGAAGAAGATATTCGGCAAGCAGTGACGCCATCAAAATACCAATTATTAAAAGGTATCTATATTTTCTTGATTCGAAACGACTTAATTCACAATTGCAATAAGTATTTATTACATGTAGTGTTTTGTTTATTGCAATTTTTTTCGAATTGTCTGAAAATAACCATTTTCCCTTGGTAAACCCTTTTTTTAAACTTATTCAGTGTATATTCTGTACAATATTATATAAAAAGGGTAATATTAAGAAAAAGTAATATAATTTTACATGTTTAATTTTTATTATCATTCTTATTTAAATCACATTGAATCAGCATTAATATTATATTTGTATTATAATCTTCAATTTGAAATAACAAAATATAACATTATTTTAAATAAACATCAAAAACTTTGTCTTTTCAGGGTTGCTCTAAAAATTTAAGAAATATTTTGATTCACTCTAAAAATTCCTAATACGTTTATTTTACTTCTTCAAAATTATTTTCATCATTTAAATTGAATTTAGAATTTTTAACTAAAACATTTGCCTTTAAATCAATTATTAGTTAAAAGTACGAAAAATTTAGATTTCCGAAGATTTTAATTTGAAACCTTTGCAAAATTTAATAAGGTATTTCTATACTATCATGCTATAATGCTTTTAATATTAATTATTATTTAAAATTTTAACCGAAATTCATATTTAAATCAATATTTATTATAAAGTTCTACGAGAATTCGATTATGTAAATAAAAAAAAATAATTTATTCAATAATTGAATGTTGCTTTAACAATATAATTTTTAAGAAGAATTGTAGTAAAAACTTTTAAAAGGTATTAATTTTTTAAGGAATTTAATAAAAATAATACTAAAATTCATTATATTAAAGAATTTTATAACAATTTTTGAAAATAATCAAAGCTCGAATCAGTGAATGTATTTAAAAATACGGACTTTACGGACCAAAAATGAAAATTACATTTATGAAGAATTTCCTTAAGGGGGGAAGAACCTCATTTAGAAGATCGAAAAATGCGTCATTTTTGGGATTTTTTTTCTCGGGTAAAATAACTTCAAACGTTTTGTAATTTATAGGGTACTTTAATACATGTATTGACAGTCTAAAAAAACTTTTTGAGAAAAAAACAAAACATTTTTAGTATTTAAATATACACCGCGTCCATGGCGCCTCATTTTATCTGTGAACATTCTAGCGCTCTGAATTTTTTTCTAAATCAAAGAAACCAACGTTTTTTTTTAAACTGTAGGATAATACCTTCGATGTGACATTTCGATTTAAAAAAAAATTCGAGAATTGATTTTTTTACCCATTTTAAAGTTAAAAGTGATTTTTCGTGCATAAAAATTGACTTTAAAATTCCAAAAAATATGAAAATTTTTTTTTTCAAGAAACACTAAATGAAACATTGAAGATTACTTAATTATCTTTAAAATGAGGTATCATAAAGCCCGATTGGTTTAATAGAGCGTTCTCAATCGTGTTCACAAAATTAAAAAAGGGTGTTTCGAGAAAAATGCGTTTAAAGTTTTTTTTAAATAAAGTGACACGAATGTCAAACAAATGAAAGTATGGTTGCAACATAGAAATTACAAATTATACTGACAGTTGTACTCTGAATGAAAGAAGAAGGCAGATTGAATGCTAAAACAGAAAAAACTCCTGACTTTGGTAAACATTTCACCGACGACCATGAAAAAAATAAATATTTAAAAATTTTGTTACTTCTTCAATAATACAGAAATCGACTTAAAATTTGAAAGGTATATTCTTGAATAGTTGTAGAATTGATTAAAATTATTTCCAGAAAATCAATTTTTTGACGCAATGAAGGAGGTTCCCCCCTTTAAAGTTTTTAAAATAATCATATTTTTTAATAATTCAAATTAAACATTTAATTATTGAATTTTATTAAAATTAAAAAAAAAATGTTTAACTTCCTGTCAAAATTTAATGACAATTTTTTAATATAATTTAATTGATACAAAGAATTTTATTAAAATATTGAAAAGAATTGAATTCTTTCAAAGAGTAGATCAATTTTTTTAAGAGTTTTTCTAAATAATTAAATTCTTTTGAAGTGTTTCTTTTTTTTTTTTTTGAAAATAATCTAGTTTCTTTAAAATAATTTTGATTAAAAACTTTGAGAAGAATTAAATTAAACAAACAATGTTCTTCAACTTTTTAAATTAACGACTCTGTTAATAATTATAATTAAAAATTTGATTATTAAATTTTATTAAGATTTTATTGAAAATAATTGAATCCCTAAGAAAAATTTTTAAACATAATACACGGAAAAAATAAATTTAGCAGATTTTACGAAACTGTTACGGAGTAGCGGATACAGCTTTTTACGAAACTGAGTTTTATAAAATGTAAGGAATATTTCAGGATAAAGTACAGAACTTTCGTAGTTTATACTAAATATTTTTGAAGTTTATCCTGAAATATTCCTTACATTTTACAAAACTCAGTTTCGTAAAAAGCTGTATCCGCTACTCCGTAACAGTTTTGTAAAATCTGCTAAATTTATTATTTCCGTGTAGTATTTCTGCGAAGAATTTTCTTACTCCTGAAAATGATTGAATTTATCCAATAATTTATAACTTTTTGCAGAATTCCACATACCTAATTCTTAGTTAAAAATTTGAAAATTTCATATTTTCAACGATTTTAATTAGAAACCTATTCAAAATTCAATTATTTCTATAATTTTAATTCATTTTATAATTATTTTTAATAGAAAATTCTACCATAATTCAATTATTTAAATACAAAAATTGAATAATTTATTAAGTAATAAAAATGTTTCTTAAAAATGAACTCTCATAAACAATTTTATCAATAAATTGTTAAATACACTGCAAGCCCGATCAGCGGTCACCCGATCAGTGGTCACTTGTTTACGTCGTTTGTTGATGGGGCGGGCGAGGGGCAAAGAGGGAGTCGAAAAGTTGTGGCAGTAGCGTATACATTAAAGACGCTCTGGCCCCTTAAAAAAAAATTCAGTAGTCAAGTAATGGTAGCCCATCATAAAACAGTTCGTACGGTCCTATATGTTTACGCCCGATCAGCGGTCGAGCACCCCCGGAGCTGACCGCTGATCGGGCTTGCAGTGTAATTGAATTCTTTGGATGAATTTTAATACAAATTTTTAATAATAATAACATTTTTCGAGAAATTCGATTAAAATTGTATTAAAAATAATTAAAATTCAACAATGAGTTTTATTTTTTTTATAAAAATAATTGAATTATTGCGAAGAAATTTATAAAAATTGGTAAATATCATTAAATTACTGTGAAATTCTTATTACCTATTTTATGAATGTAACTAAATGTTTGCGTAGAATTTTATTATACAATTTTTTTGAATAATTGAATTCTTTTGGAAAATTTTATTAAAATAGTAGATATTGAAAATCATTAAATTCAGGGAAATTTTTTAAAAGAATTATCAAGAATTGTATTAAAATTTTTGAAAATACCTAACAAAATTTTCGGAGAAGAATATTATTAAATTTTGTTTGAATAATTTTAATTTTTTCAAGAATTTTATTAAAATTTTTGAAAATAATTGATTTCATGGGATAAGAATTGTGTTGTTTATCGAGATAATTGCGTTAAAACTGTTAAAATAATTAAATAATATTAAAAAATTTATTTTTGTCAGAAATAAAAAATATTTTGAAAGTTCTGTATTAGAATTTGTTGTAGTTTCATAGTTAATTGAGGCAAACAAAAGAGGCACAAAAAATTTAGAATTGTTTTAGTAATTCTATAAAAATTTAATAATTTTTTTCAGTATTTTTAATAAAAATCCCTGACTTTTCCCTGATTTCCCTGACCTGTGACAACCCTGCATTGTTTCATTATTACGACCATTTTAAGAAATAATTCTGATGAAAAAATATAATTGACGTACATTTTCCGTTAAAAAAAGAATCCCGTAAAATTGCCGCTTATTTCCATGACTCTAAATTAAAAGCAGGTAACCTGAACATAAAATACAATTTTTTACGCTTAAAACTTTTTAAATTATATGTATTTGTCATATAAATAAAAGAAAAATATAATATCACAAAATTTGATAACAAAATATTTTGAAACAATCACAAAATGGTTTTTTCCCCACAATTTGAAAAAGGAAATTTAAATTTCGATTTTATAGTGTAAAAAGTAAAAACGTATTTTTTTATCCCACTCTACCGTACACATTGTAATAGGAATGATTCTCGAATGGCTCTTTAGAGCACCTTTACGGCATTTTGAAACCACCTGTAATTATTATAAAATACATTGACACACCTAAACAACATTAATTTAGATGACATGAAATTTCAAATTTACCTCACCTTAATACCTATAATTTATACCAAATTTCTAATTTTGAAATCGTATTCATTTCAGATTTGCTGCACGATAAGCTAACAAAGTTAGGAGTAAAAGGATACAGTAGACAAAGACGACTGAATAAAGTATGGCGATATTTGGCACAAAAAATTTACTACGATAGCGTGTATAAAAAATCGCTAATTTCTTAAACTTATTTTTTAAATAAATAAATATATATTTATATATATAAATATATATAAAAAAATATAAATATTAAAAATATTTATTTAAAAAATATTAAAAATATTTATTTAAAAAAAAAATATATATATATATATATATATATATATATATTTAATAAATAAAAAACTAATTTCTTACACTTTTTAAGTAATTAAAAATTAAAAAATATCTATATGTATATTTAAATATTATAAATGAATAACATTTTTTAATTATTATTTAAATAATATTTAATAATAATAATATTTATTTATTTTATTTAAATAAATTTTACCTTCTGTAAAATCCTTTTATTAAAGTGGAAGAGTTTAACTTCGCAATAAAAATATGTATTATTTTATATGCTGCTTTTTTATTTTACAATATAAATTGTTTACTGTTTAAAAACAGATTTTCCCTTTTCAGTTGGAAAGATTTCCGGAAAAACTTCGAAAACCACAAAGAAAATAAAAAAAAATTTTTAATAAAAAATAGACTCAAAAAGTGACTAAAAATTAACGTAAAAAATTACGTCATTTTTTATCCCAAAAAATTACGTCCTTTTTTACGTCAATTTTTACGTCACCTTTTACAATATTTCTGTTAGACCAAATTCCGTACAAATATGTTTTCTTTTTAAATAAATTCATATTTAATAAACATTGTATTTCATAAAATTCATTAATTAAAAAATTCTATTAAACAAAAATTTTGACAAATAAGAATAAGAATAAATAAAAATATTAGGATTTTAAACTACGTATAAATACCAATTTGTTTAATTATACTATACACCAAGATAAATTTCATACAATTTGAAATTTGGTTTTATATTAATCATATAATTGGAAAATTTGTCTAAATAAAAAATCAATTTGATTAAGTATCTGTTTTATAAATATTAACTAAATTTAAATTTTCTATAATTTTAATTTTATCATTTAAAAGTTAATTTCAATAAACATTTAATTAAATATAAATTCCTCTAAATAATAAATTTCAAACATTAAAGGTTATTGAAACATTAATTTTGAATAATGACATTTTGTTCTAATTAAGGTTTTGAAATATGGAAGTTTAAATAAACGGAAAATTATAACTATGAAATATTTCTAATATAAAATTTTTATAAAGCTGCAATTCTATTTAACAAAAATTTAACAAATCCAAATTTTTCATAAAAATAATTTCTGTATATTGTTTTAAATAGATTATAATTTTTATAAAAGAAAACTCCAAGAAAAAGAAGTTTTGACAAATAAAATAAGGTGTATTGAATATTATGCAGGATTTTTGTCTGGAATGGCGCTAATACATGTAATTGCGTCCACGTGGGGCGAGGGGGGGTTAAAATTTCCAAAAAATTGGTCTACGTAGTTTATGGACGTTCCCTAAGTGATAGAATAGAAAATGTTCTTAAAAAGTTCTCATTAACTGCTTTTTTGTTACTTAAATCAATCCCTACTGGAAGTAAAAAGATAGAAAGAGATAGAATTTTGGGGATAGAAAGAGATAAAGTTTTTTCTATCCATTTGAAATAGCCACTTTGCATACCCGAAATATTATACCTTTTTATCTCCAAATTTCTATCTCTTTTTATACCCTATTATCCCCTATCTATCTCTTTTTATACCTATGTACTTTTATCTCTTTTTATTTCTCTTTGCTGTAAATTTTTATCCTTTTTAATATATAAAGAATTAATTAACGAATATTATTAACAATATTAAAGACTTTATGAAGTATTACAATTTAAATTGAATTTATTATTTAAAAAAAATATTTTTAGAGTTTTCGTACTTCTATTTATAACCTATTTTTAACAAATCAAGTTATTTATTTATTTGTAATAAAATTATTATTTATTGTTTAAATCTACACGGAGAAAAAGATAAGGTTATACTAACCGGAGACCCCGGTTAAAACTACTTGACCGACACAGGCGTTAACATAACCTCTGATTCCCAAGTCAGCACAATTTGACAGCCAGGCAGTTTTGGCCTGGCTGCCTCAAGTAGTTTCAATGGCTGGATCGATATCAGTAGTAAATTAACTGACGAAAACTAAAGACTCAACTGGAGGGCTTGAACCCTGAACCTTCGGGACGCAAGTCGAATACACATGTCACACAGCCACGCTAGCTTGGAAGATATTTTTCTTGAACTACCTTTTAAATTTCGGGACTGTATTGATCTCTTTTTATCTCTTACTCTATCACTCTTTATCTCTCAGTTGATCTCTTTTTTAAAAGAACAGAATAAATGTCATAAAAAATTATTGAGATAAAAGAAGAAAAGCCCTTTTTAAATCGAATTGGAAATAAATAGACTGATATAGAATCGAGGGGATAAAAAGAAAAAAGTGTGGTATTAGAATAAAGTTAGGATAAAAAGAAAAGAAAGTGAATAGTAAAAGAATTAATAGAGATAAAGTAAAGGTTATTAAAAGGGATTGAGCAAAAGTAGGTGATGGAAAGAGATTGAATAGAATCGAGAGGTGATAGACTAAAATTAAACCTAAGGTATAAATGGTGATGAGTGTGTACTAAGATTAAAATGTGGATAAAAAGAGAGAAGTACAAGGATAAAAAGGATTGAAGGGTATAAAACAAATGTTATTTAGAAAGATAAGGGAAAAAATAAATACTAAGATTCAAATGAGAATAGAAAGAGAATAGAGTAAATAGTAGTAGGATTAAAAGAGATAAAATAAGGGTTATTAGAAGAGGTTGAGAAAAAGATGAGATAAAAAGGGATTGAAGGGATTATAAAAGGAAAAGTCTGGGATAAAGGAAGGTCATAAGCAGAGATCAGTGTTTTCTTAGATTAAAGTAGCGACAGAAAAGGAAGAAAGTAGATAGGAAAAGTATTGAAGAAGATAAGAAAAATGTTATTCAAAAAGATTGAGAAGAAGAGAAGATAGAAAGCGATAGTAGTAATAAAAATAGGGATAGATTAAAAAAGATAAACTTTATCTCTTTACATCTCAGAGATAAACAAATATTCAAGGAGATAGGATTTCTATCCCTTTACCTCCAGCAGGGAGATATAAAACTGGATAAATATGAAGTGACATTGAAAAGGGTAGAAAAAGTTAACTTTGGGGATTGAAAAAGGATTCAATGGGATATAATAAAGACTATTGAAAAAGATTAAGGAAAAAGAACAAATTGGATTGTTAACTATTTATTTTTAAAAAAATTGTAATAGGATTTTTTTATTCTAATAGAAAAGAGCTAGACTCTGATAGAACCGGCGGAATAAAAAGAGACAAATATGAAATGAGATTTAAATAGGGATAGAAAGGAAAAGAAGTTAATAGTAAAAGGATAAAAGGCGATAAAGTAAGAGTTATTAAAAGAGATTGAATAAAAAGGAAAGATAAAAAGAGATTGAGAGGAATGAAAAAGGGATAGCTTGGGATAGAAACAAGAATGTTAAAAGAGATAAGTATGTTTTTTTTTATTAAATGGCTTTTTGCAAAGCAGATAGCCAAAACTCAAATCCAAAGTCCATCTCATCCTTTGGAAGTGTTTCCCCGTACACACATGAGACGTCCTCATCCTTGTAACACTGTTTAAAAATTTTCTTTTGGCATTAAAACTATCAAACCATGGTCTCTTATCTGTGAATTAATTTTCGTGAAAATATGGATTCGTAGAATTCGGTTTCCTCTCAAAGGGCCAATTATTTTTATAATAAATATAATTATCTTTAATTAATTTGTTATTTAAATCACATACTGGAGTACCAGAAAATCTCTCTAAGTTTAATGAGAGAAAGAATTTGGCAATTCTATCCGCTTCTTCGTTACCCGAAATACCCACATGGGATGGAACCCAAATAAAATCAACATTTATATCTTTAGAGAGTATAATGCCTAATAGATGTCTCATTTTAATGGTAGTCGGGTGAGGATTTCTAAGCCTAAAAACATCCCTAATGTTCTTCAATGCTAATTTGGAATCCGAAAGAATAAGAAAATAGGAAAGAGTTAAAGTTGATATAAATTTCAGAGCCAAATATATACTATATAGTTCTGCTGACAAGATAGAAGTCATATCACTCAGTCTCACACCAAATTCAAAATTTAAAGATGGAACAAAATAAGATGCACTAGCTTTATTTTCATTCTGACTTCGTGCTCCATCTGTATAGATATTAGTACAATTTGCATAATTGGTATTTAAAACTTGTTTCAACATTTCGTTTGGATTTTTATGTGACTTAATCTCAGATCCTGTAGAAGTGTCAATCTGAGGGTTAATGTCAAGTCTCGCCAAGATAGATCAAAGTAAGAAAATTTATTTAAACATAGAGAATCTTTAGTTAGATCTTTAATATATTCAAATCTACCAAAAAGAGGGAATTTATCAAATTTAATTTCCCTTCCCCTTCTAGTTAGAGATTTTTCATATAAAAGTCTAAGTCGTGGAATTAGGGTGTTGGATTTTGTAGAGAAACTACGTACTAAAAATTTATCCAATAATAATTTTCTACGGGTCGCGAAGGTAGGCTCATTACATTCGAATAATAGTATACTGATAGGAGTAGAACTCATACAACCAAGCACCACTCTCAAGGCTTCGTATTGCAATCTATCTAATATTTTGAGGGATTTATTACTTGCATGAGCAAATAATTGTGCTCCCCACTCCAAATGTGCCCTTACCAAACCTTTATAAGCGAGAAGTAATGCAGAAGGATGGGCACCCCAAGAAACTCTTTCCATAGCTTTAAAAGCGTTAATAGCTTTACTAGCCTTTGAAGCGATATATTTAATATGTGGATCCCAAGTCAATCTCTTATCCAATAGAAATCTCAGATACATGAGGGTTTTTTCAACATGTATTGTGGAGTTTAAAACCTCTAGTGTTATATTCATTTCATCAGGAATAGAACGTGAAAATAAAATCGATTGACACTTTGGAAGAGAAATAGATAAACCTAAGTCACTCAACCAAACAGAGAGTATCTCAACCGCAGAA